AATTGTTGGCTGTGTCTGTGTGTTGCAAGAGGAGTCTTTGGATCATGGCACAGTGTTGTAAATTTAGGAGCATGAATTTAGGAGCATGTTTGTGAATAGAAGATATATCCACACATTATAAAACAAAAATCTGAGTGTGGTGTGATATAGGGTACATCACTGAGTTGCAGGGTGCATGCATGCGTGTTTGCACGTGTGTTGCATTGTGTTGTGTTGTATTGTGTGTCCGTGCCTTGTAGGGTGAGGCTGGGTGTTGTGCATCTGAATATTGTGGGATGAGTTTGTGTAAAATGGAGCAAGCCTGTGCACTGTATAGCAAATTTCTTGATTGTGATACAGTTCTGTCTTGTGTGAGTGGCATCTGACTTAGGGTTCTGTCTGTGTTCTGTAGGGTGTGGGGGGGATTGTGGTGGGCTATCTGTATGCTATAGAGTATTTGTACGTGTTCTGGGGCTAGTCTATGTATCACGTGGTGAGTCTTTGTGTTGTCAGGTTCTAGGTATTTGGGGTAGATCAAATACCTTTTCCCTTTAATAGTAATGGTGGTGGGGTGGGAGGGGTGATAGTAATATAAATTAACAACTGCAAGAGTTCCTATGTGCCAGGCACTATACTAAGCACTTAACATATCATAACTCATTTAATCCTCACCAACAACCCTTTTGAGTAGGTACTATTGTTATCTTTGTTTTACAGAGAAGCAAACTGAGGAACAGAGAAACATACTTACCCAAGGTGATACAATTAGAAAGGGGTGGAACCTGGATCCTAACCCAGGGAGTCTGTGTCCAGAGGCCTTGCTCTTAACCACTACAGAAGTTGTTATCTCTGTCGCAGGCCAGAGTTGTAGCTCAATAATATGGTAAAGTAGGTCTGTAAACTATGATGGAAATACTTGCATTACAGGGGTAATATGTGTATTGTGTGTCTATGTGCTGGGGAAAGTTTACGTGAACGGTCAGTTTTCCATTCTAGAGTAAGTCCGTGTTATGATGCAAATCTGTGCACTACAGAAGAAATCTATGTGTTTCTAGGCACACCCATGAATTGTAAGTTTTGTGAGTGTGATTATGTTGTCGGACAAGTCTCTGCCCTGAAGGGCTTGCCTGCACACTTAGGGTGAGTCTCAGTGTTCAATGGTGTTTGTGTGCATTGCGGGGCAAGTATGCATATGAATGTGAGAAGCTGTGCATTTTGATGTAATTCTGTGCACAGCTTGAGCATCTCTTGTTTATGGGCAGCAGTGAAACTAGTCTACGTGCTTTGAGGCAGCTCTGGGGGTCGTAGAGCAAATGGCTGCATATGTTTGGGGCACGTGTTCGCAATGTACAGCCACCATAAGGAGTGTGGTTTTGGGCAGATGAATCTGCAGGACAAACGCATGTTGTGACACAATTACGTGCACTGTGGGGGTGGAGCACTATGCTGTGGGATGTGTTTGTGTGTTGCATCTGTGTTGTGAAATGAGCGAGTGGAATCTGGATCATGCCCGTGACTGTGCCCTGAGGGGCGAATCTGGACACTCTGGAGACAGATTCAGCGCGGCTGTGGCATGGGTGTGTCTGTCATAGAGCAAGTCTGTCCATTGTAGGGCCAATGTGCATGCTGTGGTGCGCTGCTGGGCACCATGGGCGGCGTCTATTTATTGCAGCATGTCTAAGGAACTGGGGGCATGTTTTGTGGACACCGGGCCACAGGGCGCATTGTGTGGAGACCACCTCATGGTGGAGGTCGAGATGCAGCAGGGCAAGTGAGTGCACCATGAGGCAAGTATTTGTATCGTGTGGGAGCTGCATGTGTTGTGAAGTGAACGGGTGCACAGTAGGATGAGCTTGGGTGTTGTGACCCAATTCCTGTGCACCGCGGGGGGATATATGTGCTATAAGATATACCACTGCATCTCTGTGATGTGGGGTGAGCTTGTCTGAGGGCTGTGGAGAGTGTCTGGGCTGTAGGTTAAATCTGTGTGCCATGGGGTAAGTCTTCAAGCCGTGGGGTTAGTCTGTGTTCTTAGGGGCAAGTCCTTGTGCTGTGGGACAAGTCTGTGTCTTGGGGAGAAGCTGTGCACCCTGGGACCAGTCTGCCTGAAGTGGGGAGGGCCTGTGTCCCGTGGAGAAAGTTTGTGGGGCAAATTTATATGCTGTAGGGAGTGTCTGTGTGCTGTGGGACATCTCAGTTTGTGGGGCAGACTGCTCTATGGGAACAATCTTTTGGCTGTGGGGAGAATCTGTGTGTTGTGGGGAGACTCTCTATGCCATGGGTTTAGTTTGTGTTTTGTGGGGTGAGTCTGTGTGATTTAGGTAATGTCTGTAACCAATGGAGCAAGTCTGGGTCCTTGTGGGATGGTCTGTGTCCTGTGGTGCTTGTCTATGTGCCATGAGGCAAGTCTGTTGTGGGAGAGTATGTCCCTCTGTGTGGGTCTCCAAGCTGTGCCAGGAACTGTGTTCTGGGGAGAGTCCAGGTGCTCTAGGGTGCATCTATGTATTATGGGGTAAGGCTGTGTGCCCTGGGCGGGGGTAGGAATCTGCGTGCTCTATGGAGTATCTTTGGGATGTGAGGGGAGTCTGTGCCCTGGGGAGAATCTTGGCCATGGGTTTAGTCAGTGGGGCACTGGGAGAAATCTGTGTGCCGTGGGGAGAATCTGTGTGCCATGGGGAGTCTATATGCCATGGGCAGAGACCATGTTCTATGGTGGGGTTTTGTATCCTGCAGGGCCTGTCTGTGTGAAGTGAGTCTGTATTCACTAGAGAGACTGTGCTAGGCAAAGGGCCTGTGTGATATCGGGGCAGTCTGTGATGTCGAGGACTGTGTGTGTGTCATGGATAGAGTCTTTATGGAATAGTGAGTCTGTGTCACGTGGGGCAGGTCTGTGTCCCTTAGGTGAGGCTTTTTGCCTTGCGGAGAATATGTGTGCCTTTGGGTAAATCTGAGTGATATGGGGGATGTCTGTGTGCTATGGGGCAAGTCCTTCTGCTGCGGTACTTGTCCATGTGTCATGGGTAGAGTCTGTGTGTGTGTGTGTGTGTGTGTGTGTTATTTGACCAGTGGACAATAGAGGGTAAGTTTGTACATTGCAGCACAAGTCTGTTTCAGGGCAAATTCTCCTTTAATAGCTACAGATGATACCAACACTTACACAGTGGTTACTATGTAACAGACACTGTTCTAAAGGTGCTATTATTAATCTCCATTTTACCCCTGAGAAAATGGAAGCACTACGTACTATGGTCATGCAACTAGCAAGAGGTAGAGGTTTGAAACCGGGCAGTTTGTTTCCTGTGCCCCCACTATCATGAATCCCCTTAGGGCCCTGGGGGTGTCAGTGGCCTCAAACACTGGGAATACTTCGTGGTCACTGCTGGGTATATTGAGAGCAGGGACTTTGGAAGAAAAGGGAGTAGGCTCAAAGCCTTCCAAGTATTAAAAAAATAACACAATGCTCTATATACAATAATGATGGCAGTTTAGCCCAGAGAAACTGACATCACGACTGCAGGAGAACTCCTTCAGTGACGTCGGCCCCCACAACAGCACCCCCACCCCCCACCGCCATAGCCACATTCAGCCACTGCAGAGGAGCAAATGCGCATGCCCTGGCAAGCTGCTGTTGCCAGGGAAACCAGCCTCCAGTCACAAACAAATCACAGCCTAAATGCACAAGTCAAGAAATGACCGGGGCTCTGGTTGTGAGCCAAATGAGCCCCTTGCAATAAGGGCGGGCAAGGCATCCTTCCACCCAAAATCCCCTATTTTTCTTCCTGAATCAGGAAAGCCTAGAGGCCAGAGTCCGAAGTCAATAGAGAAGGAAGGCTGTGGTGGGAGTGGGGATGGGGGTGGGGCAGTCAACAGTGGGTGGCAGGTGATTTTAATAATCAAAGATTTCTGTGAGCAACATTTAACTCTTCCCCCACTAAGAGTCTGTGTTTCATGCTGGAGCCTTCCGCCTACAGTGAACAGAGGTGAACCACTGGGGTGTGTCTACCTACAAGAGATGGTGGCAGTGATGGCATGGATTGGGACTCATCCTACCTTCTTTGAATCCCTAGATCAGACTACTGCCAGCAACAGGCTGGCAGACATTATTTATTTTTGCTCCTCATACATTTCTTACATTTCCTTCTTATACCATTCTAGAAAATTCCAGGGAATGAGTCCAGACAGCTTTAATTCTCTGAGTACCTGAGAAGTAGAAAAAGAGGTTGAAGGAGGAACCTTAGGAGTAACACTAACCCCGGGGGGAAGTTTTAAACACACAATTAGGATGCCAACTGTGTCCAAGAGGAATAGCACATCTGGAACAGTGATTCTATATATTCGGATTCCTCAATTTTAATTTGTAAAAAGCATCTGATAAAAATATAATTTTGGAAAATTTAAAATTTAAAAATCCTGTTTGAAAACCACTGCCCTAAACTGCATGTGCCTAGAATTCCTGAAAGGCATGAGCACGAACATGATGTTTTAGAATGCTGCCAGAAGCTGCAAGAAGGTAGGAGTGCTATTGTGGAATGTGACCATCTTGGGTAGAAAGAAAATGGCCGACCTGTGGACACTATACCCTAGCTAATGGGAGAGCAGTTGTTGCCATTTCAAATCAGTGGAGGGAAGTTGGATTATTCAATAAATGATGCTGAAACAATTGGTGACCTATTTGGAAAAAAAACAAAATTAGATCCTACTTCATATTCATACCACATACCAAAATGAATTCCAGATGAATCAGAGTTATTTGTAAAAAATGAAGCAATGAAATAACTGAAAAAAAATACAGGTCAATATACTCATCAAAGGAAAGAAATAAATCATAAAGTCAAAAATTGATAGCTGTGGATATCTAAAAATGTAAAGCTGCAACATGTAAAAAAAAAAAAACCCAGCATAAATGATACAAAATCAATAGGCAAACCACTGGGAAATAATGTTTTTACCACATATGATAAATAAATTAGGTGATAATGTATAAGGTGGTGGTGGAGGAGAAATCTTAAACTGGTTCATACCATTTGATCCAGAAATTCCACGTCTACGAATTTATCCTAGGGGAAAAAAAAAAACAGAAAAGCACACAGAGGTTTCTATGGAAAGATATTCCTTAAATTATAACAGCAAAAATTGCACATATTAAACATTCAATAACTGGACATTTAGTGGGACAACTCTATGATCAGAAATTATGCATCTACGAAACATTGCCTTCTTGTGGAATGCTTAAAAATATGAGGAATTGCTCCCAATATATTGTTGAATGATTATTAAAGCAAGCTGAAAACTACATGTACATATAATTTTCATTTTGTATATAAATGTATATTTCTATGCATTTATTTGTATGTATTCAGGAAAGAGGGACTGAAAGTAATTTTTCCAAATTTTAAACAATTAATGTGTGATTTTTTTTATGATAAAGGGGAAAGATAGCCTTTTTAAGAAGCTACTTTAATAAGTGCTAGAAAAGCAGTGGGAGCAAGATAAAGTCTAGGAATAAAGAGAATAAAAACAGCCTAAATGTACCTATGTACCAATGGAGGACCCAGCAAAGCAAACTCAGTACGTATTACATGAAAATTACAGTATTATTTGCATATTAGCAGGTACAGAATTTCTTATACAAGATGGACTCCTGGAAAATTTTCTTCACTACACCAGAGAATAGTCACATGTCCCTGGATGCGTCAGTCATTCTCTTTGCCGCAGTGCTCAGTTCAACTTCCCCCTCCCTTTGCATTTAGCAAGCTTTCCCCCACTCCCCCTGCAAAACATGCTACCCGTAGACATTTCTGGCTTGGAAAATGGCCCATCTTGTGAGCTTTCTTTTAAGCGTTTCCTTCTTATTTTTCCTCCTTGATTGCTGTTTGTCATCTAACTCAAAAATCTGCCTTTTTTTCCTCCGTCCTCTTGAAGGGACAAAAAACCTGAATTTCAAAGAAATAAAAAGACCACCACTTCAGCTCTTTTTATTTCTTGCAGAAATGGATCTACTAATGTGATTTCCAGGTGAAAGGGGGCACAAAAGCTTACGCATTTTCAGGCACATTTCAGAAACAAACATAAAAGCTTTTCTGATAGGAATCTCTGCTATCCTTCTCACAGCCCTTTACAAATAAAGAAGCACTGAGAATATTCTGCCTTTACTGTACAAATTGATGTCCATGAATACAAATCAATTATTCAAAATAAAGGCAGTCACAATATTCATTATTTCTTTTTCATGATTTTTCATCCTAAAACCAAATTTTAATCTTTCCCATTCAACACATGTTCATCTCTCACATGAAGCAATTAAGCTGAACATTACAGGCTGCCCTCCTCATTTTCTCTCCTGTACAGACATCCAGTCACATGATTTTCTTCACTTAAAAAAAAAAAAATGAGGTATGGTATCCTTCCCATTGCAAAGTAACAGTTTTCTCATGCTCTCTCCATATGGGGACAGGAACTCAGATCTGAGCACATTTTCAATCGTAACCCATTCTATCAAGTCTAATTCAAACATCATAAGGCTGAGATACTGTTCCGAGTGCACTTTCTCATTTTAGTAACATCTTCATCAAGTCATGCGTTGGGAAATACCTTACCAGATTCACAAGGGGAGATCTCTATATTTCCTTCTAGCAACTCATTTGCCGTTTAAGAAATGAGCTTTAAACTAGTAAAGTGACCATGGAATATTTAGAATTTAAACTAATTTGTTTTCCCAATACTGCTGATTAGAATCAGGAATTCCTACACAGTTCTGTATTATTCTATTCCATCAAAACTTGCCACTTTAAAAGCATATTTTGGGTATCTATTTTACAAAAGATTTCTCAGCTACTTACCACTGCCTGCGCTCTGCCTCTCCACCAGCTCTGAGGCCGTGGCGCCGAAGGGGAGGGGGGAAAAGGAGCAGCAACCACTTGAAAATGAGCTGTGCTCTGAAGAAGGGATTCGCTCTATGGAAAGAAATGAAATGCCCTGGAATTATCCTCAAATTCCTCCGAAAGGATAAAATCATATTAAACGTTACATGCTAAAAAGTACATGTTCATCAAAGAACAGATTTTAATAGCAAAACCTCTGATCTATAACCTACTTAAATTGTCTTGATTTCCAGTGGAACCCCTACAATGTCATGGGCTTTTGGCTCTCCTGTCTCCTAGCAACAGTCTCATTAATATTTTTTTTTCTGCAGTGGTCCTACTAGGCATCAGAGAACATTGATAAGGTCTAGTCTCCGGGAGCATTTTGTTGTTCAGTATGTGTTTTCCCCAGGCAAGTAATAAGGAGTGTCAGGCCTTCAGTAACAATTTCTCCAGAGGAAGATTTTGGATTGGAATGACATTCCATTCAAATGACAGAGACTGTTCTTCTGCCCTCCCTTGGTGCAATACTCTCATTAGACCCCTGACCTAAAGATGGGCCTCAGCGAAAGATGCCTAACCCCTTCTGCAATCCCCAAATTACACACAGGAATTCAGGCCCTAAACCAGTGTTGTTATTATCCACTATGCTCAGAAAAAAAAAAATGCTCAGAATTCACCTGTGTCCTTAGCTCTGTCATCATGACTCCCACCCATCAGTATGGCTACTAGAGGTATATGGCATAAAAACAGTGGATGAAATATAACTAGATCAAAACCCACTTATCTGTAAATATTAACATTAATATGACAAAATATTGACTACATGTTAAGGAAATGAGAGCAGGTTATTATACAATATGTACAATGCAATCACATAACTTATGTGGATAGGAATAAACGTACGCAAAAAAGTCTGGAAGGATACTACATCAAAATGTTAAGAGTGATTATGTCTGGGTTTTCTATGGATGGTAGAATTTGATGGGAGTTTAGATCATTTTTCTTTTTGATGGTCTATTTAATAACTTTTCTGCAATTAACACATATCCCTTAGGTTATTAAAAAAGAACCATGCCCGGGGCGCCTGGGTGGCTCTGTCATTAAGCGTCTGCCTTCAGCTCGGGTCATGATCCCAGGGTCCTGGGATCGGGCCCCGAATTGGGCTCCATGCTCCGCGGGAAGCCTGCCTCTCCCTCCCCCACTCCCCCCTGCTTGCGTTCCCTCTCTCACTGTGTCTCTCTCTGTCAAATAAATAAAATCTTAAAAAAAAAAAAGAACCATGCCCAACAATGTGAATGTACTTATTGCCACTGAACTGTACACTTAAAATAGTTACAATGTTAAATTTTATGTTATGTATACTTTACCACAATAAAAAAGAGCAAATCATTAATTCACTCCACAAACATGTACTGAGTCTCATACTGTGTGGTGGGCAGAGATTATAAAAATGAATAAGGGCGCCTGGGTGGCTCAGTCGTTAAGCGTCTGCCTTCGGCTCGGGTCATGATCCCGGGGTCCTGGGATCGAGTCCCACATCGGGCTCCCTGCTTGGCGGGAAGCCTGCGTCTCCCTCTCCCAC